AAAAAAATTGTAATTATGTGAGATAATGGATCTGTAACTCACCTTACGGTGGCAATCATTTTTCGATGTGAGCAGTACGGAGCTGTTCTAATCCACCTCGCCTTCCTTTTCAGTCGGCATGAATTGGGCGGCTTAGAGTAGAACAGGTGAGAGCACTGGCCTGGAAGCCAGCGGGAGCCTCCAGCTCTTGCTTACTCTGGCTTCTCTCCCTGGGATGCCCCTACTCCCTGCATGTGACACATGGCTCAGAATGTCACTTCTTCTGTCCTTTTCTCAGCTGTCTGTACCTGGGCTCAGCACCCATCATCCACCAGCCGGCATGGCCTGCCAGGTGTCTGTTTACAAGTCTGTTTTGGCCTCCAGTGACTTGGAACTGCCTTCCCCTCCACCTAGGACTGGGTGCAATACCGAAAAAGACCACACGAGGGCACCAGAACCACACTGGTGATGCCCTGCTGCCCAGGCAGACCTCATCCCCTTCAAAACTGTCCCGCAAACCAGAGATGACATTGGTCACTACAGCCCTGAGATGCGCCCACTCAGGAGGGAGCCAGCGAGAAACAATTGGCTTCAAAACTCCGGGAAGAATCCCCACTCCTGCCCCAGTCTTCCCAGAGCTGTGCTGGCCAAGGTGACCCTCTGAGCGGCCGCCCGCAAACACCCGAGGCATGTGGAGGGCGACTGGCTGTGTGGCCTTGAACCAGGCCCTGTACCTCTCTGAGCCTCAGTTTCCCGCACTGCTGAGTCTTGGTGCAGATGCAGTGAGGCAGGCGTCCGACCACCCTCCGCTTCCTGCCGCTCCATGTCACCAGCTTGGCCAGGGCCCTCCTTTCATGCTCAGTGTTTGTTAAATTGAACTGAAAAGAAATAAAGAACTCCTCAGAGCATGGACTAGGAGGTGAGAGGTGACCACCAGAGGCATGTTCTCCTTCCCCTTCCGGAAATTCCTGGTCACAGAGCACAGGCCCTTTGTGTGCCTGCAGGGCGGGGTGGGACGTGCTCTGAGGCGCCTGGGAGTGGAGGTGTGGATTCTGGGTCACTGGAATAGGGAGAGGAGGAGGAGAGGGCAGGCAGGAAGCAGTGGTCGGCAAACTCATTAGTCAACAGAGCCAAATATCAACAGTACAACGATTTGGGGCAGCGAGCCCCTCCTTGGGAGGGAGGGACAGGAGAGGTAGTGAGTTCCTCCAGGGCCAGGTGGGGTCGGGGGTCCACTCCAGAGCAGGCTTCCTGGCTTGCAGGGGCCCAGTGCATCCTCAGGTGCTCAACTGTGTGAGGAGGGGCTGGGGCTGCAGACCCTCCGTCCTCCCGCCTCAGGCTTCCCGGCCTCGGGTAGCATTAAGACGTCAGCCAACCACGTGTGAGGCCAAACAGCGGAGATTGTGTGCCAGTCACGCATCTCCCCAAATCTTCAGGGAGACCAAGAATTGCTTCCTGGCTCGAGGCCCCACTTTTGCTGATGGCGACAAGCAGACGCAATTCCCTCTTGTTCAGGGCTCCACAGCACCCTGGGGCCTCTGCAGGTGCCTGTTTGTCTTCCCCACAGTGGAAACTTCCAGAGGGTAGAGGTGGGGGCCCATTCTCCTCCGTATCCACCAAGGCCTGCGGACCAGAGGGCACTTGACAAATGTTTGCTGAACAGGTTCATTCATTTTCACTTAACGAGCTCGTCAGGGCTCTGCCTTTCTCCTAATTAGGAAGCAGGCGGGTTCCCTTTCCCCCTGTAACTACCCACCTTTGGGGGCTGATGGCAGAACCTCCACCTCCGCAAGCAGAAGGTGATCACACTGGATTCCTGGGGACACCATTGCATTTTTAAGAAAAAAAAAACCACGCGTGCCCAATGAGGCGCATCTAAGCAAGACACTTGTCTATGAAAAGGTTCACGGGCGCTAGACATCCTTGCTCAGCTTATCACGTGGAATTAGCGCATCGCAGGGCAGCTCTGTCGCTGTGGGTGGCTGGCGCAAGTCTCCTGGCAGGGACACGACACTGAGGAGAGGGGAGGGCCCCGAGTGGGGTTCTGGAAGACGCTCCTTCGTCGAAGGCTCCGGGCCATGCTGCTCCCTCTGAACCACGTGCCCCCTTGGTCTTTGCTGGTGACAGACCCTGGAAGGTGAGGAGTGATGTGGCAGCTCACTGGGCCCGGCCAGGACTCTGCACGGGCCAATTCCGAGTGCCAGCCTGCCATCTGCCTGCTGGCTGCCGCACCCACTGTCCCTGGGTCTGAGAGCAAACGCCAGCCCAGCAGCCGTCTGTCCTGGAGGCCCTTGGCAAACCACACCAGGTCTGAGAGTCCTGGAGGGCCAGCAGAGCTTGGTGCTCCGAGCCTTAAAGCGAGACTCTCCGGGGTCATCGCTGCAGCAGAAGCAGATTTAGGCCCAGCGCCCCCCCCCGCCCCGTGGATGCGGCCGCGCTCACAGCTCACACGCTGGCTGCCGGGCACCCGCCCAGAGAGGCCCTGGGAGGAGCCCGGGCACCGCTTCCCTTCCCGGCGGCGTAGGGGTCCGCACCTGTGACTGTTCCCAGGCAGGCAGGTGGCCCTCTCCCCACACAGCCTCTTCTTCCTGTGGATGCCGTCTTGGGGGAGGGGGCGAAGAGGCCCCGGACTCCTTGGCGCTCAAGGACACAGGCGTTGAAGTGGTCGGGTCATTATGGTCGATAATGAAGCCGGCAAAAAGGGAAAGAAAGGAAAAACAAGTCCCATGGCTCTGAGCGAGGCCTGAGTGGCTGGAGGTTGTGTTCTGCGACAAAACGCCGAGGGCCAGAGACTGTGTGGCAGGGAGCTTTATTTTTTTCCTCAGAGAAATCCAGCTCATTCCCCCCCCTTAATTGGCAGCAGATGAAAAAAAACAAAAGCCAAAACAAAAACCAAACTAAAGCCAGTAACCTGAAAATGAGTGTTTCTGAAAGGGAAAAGCCGTTTCAATTGTTGGATGTCCAAGAAAACATGAATCCACGCTGACAGAGGAAACGGCCACAATTAGAGGAAGAAGAGGGAGAGGTTCATAAAATTAAGGAAAAAAATTCCTTTCAGCTGCTCCCATCCTGTAAGCGGGCTCCTCTGGCCTCCGTCCCTGAGGGGCCTCCCTGGGGGACTTGAGGAAGCGGCCGCAGGGGAAGGAGGGGGGGCCAGGAATCCCCTGAAAAGCGCGAAGGCCGGGCGGAGGGCAGGCGTCGCTTCGACTCAGCCCACAGGCACGCAGCCTTTCCGAGGAGAAACCTGGAGGGCTGTCTCCCCAGAAGGACCAGGGCTCCCTGCACTGCTCAGCCCCTCGGCCTCGGGAAGCGCCCTGGAGAAACCGAGGCTGCCTCCGAGGTCCCCAATCTCTAACCCAGTCCTAAGGATCCCCTTCTCCTTTGGTACTTCTGTTTGGCCACGTGCCAACTCCTTACTCATTTTCTCATTCACACACACACACACACACACACACACACACACACACACGAGGAAAGCGTGAATCACTCCAGGTATTTTCTTGCCTCAAAGGATGTTTCAGAAAATAAAACAGGTGAAAGGTCAAGGTTGAGTCTTCGGAGACCAGACTCAGGCCACAGCCAACGTGGTAACCACAAGGTGGATGGGTCTGTGGGACCCACAGGTGGGAGGAGCTGGAGGCCACCTAGACTGATGGGCAGCACCTGGGAGGGCGACCCAAGAGGGGGACTGGCAGAAAGACTGGTCTCCAAGGTCACGAACCACTGGAATCCACGGCAGCCTCCCAAAGCCACGCAGCTTAGCCCGCTCTGCCCCGGCAGGTCCTGGTCTTTCGAGGGGCCGTCTCCACATCCGAACAGTGAGCCCAGCCTCAGGAGCCCTGGCAATGCTGAATGCTGAGGCCTGCTGGTGATGCTGCTGGAACTCGGCCCCACGTGCGGGGACGTCACCGAACTTCCATTCCCCGCAGACCAGTGGGGCAGGCGGGACGGTGGGCGCCTGGTGGAGGCACTGAGACTGGAAATGCCTTTCTGGCTGCGGATTCTTCTATTTCTTCCATCCTCATTCAGCCAGTGTGGTGGTGAGGAGGTAGGAAAGGAGGGGACTGAGCAACAGCAGCCTGGTCTGCCCCGAACATGTGGGGAGAATCCCTGCTCCCCACAAGGGCAGGGACGAGACAGAGGGGAGTCTGTGTGGGAGTGTTTTTTTTTAAACAATTTATTTTATTTGTCTTGATATTTTTATTGCTTTCAGAGAGGAATGGAGAGTGAGAGATAGAAACATCAATGAGAGAGAAGAAGACAGAGGGGAGTCTGTGTGGGAGTGTTTTTTTTTAAACAATTTATTTTATTTGTCTTGATATTTTTATTGCTTTCAGAGAGGAATGGAGAGTGAGAGATAGAAACATCAATGATCAGAGAGAATCACTGATTGGCTGCCTCCTGCACACCCCACACTGGGGATTGAGCCTGCAACCCGGGCATGTGCCCTGACCAGGAATCGAACCGTGACCTCCTGGTTCATAGGTTGACGCTCACCTGAGCCACACCGGCCGGGCTGCGTGGGAGCGTTTTTATGTGTGAAAACAGTGGATGACCAGCAGGGCTCACGGCCAGGGGAGTCAGGATTCGCTTTCTCCCAGGAGCAGGATGACAGCGAAGAGCGAGGCCATGTAGAGCCAAAGCACTGGCCATGAGCCTGCCAGTCTGGGCTCAAGAGCCTCCTCTGCTTATGAGCTGTGACCCTGGGGGAGTTACCTTCCCTCTGAGCCTCCTTTTCCCCCGTATGTTAAATGCCTCACAGGGCTGCCAAGCCAAATAATGGGGAGTCTGGTTATTAGGTCAACATTTGAGGTGACCATGCTGGAGCCTGAACGCGGATCTGGCTGCACCCTCTGCAGGTTGACTCTCAGGGGACAAAGCCAACCCCTCTGCCCCACCCACTGCCTCAGCCCTGAGCTGGGGCTCGGCTTCCTCCCTCCCACCACCCATGCTCAGGAGACACGCCATGGTGAGCACTGGCCCCTCAGAGACCCTCTGTGGTATAAAAAAAGGGATGAGAATACATATTAAATGACTATTTTATTTACACACCTTAGTCATAAATAATTGAATCCTCTTTTGACCGCACAATGATTCCTTGAAGATCTAATGATTACACCGAGTGATAAAGTGGATTAGAGGGCTTACTCACATCTGTGTGTGACGGATGTGCGCACACTCACACACACACACAGACACACGCACACCAGAGGGGAGGCAGGACTCCAGGCCTTCCGGCTCTCCCAGCACCAGCGTTTGGCTCCCCACACCGTGGGGCCCTGGTGGGAAAACTGTGCTCCCTGCACAGGTGTGAATTCCTGACAGCGGGAGAACAAAGCAAAGTGCGGCAACCCAGGCGGTTCCGCCCGGCCCTCCCCTCGGAGCTGCTTGCCTTTGTTCATCCTGCAAGGCATCTCTTTGGATTTGCAAATATTTTAATTCACAGAAACTCAAGGAGGGGGTGGGGGTGGGGGCTGGGGCGGCTTGTGGGCCGTCCCTCTGTCTCTATCCAGGCCTTTCCCAGCCCCCTTAGTGGCAACAGCATTCTAGAGACATGCAGTGGTGTGCCAGTACCATACACACGACACGAACTGGACACGCTGGTCGGCGGGGGCTCCGGCTCCTCCAGGTCTGGGCCCTGTCAGCGCAGGGCGAGGCTGGTCCTCTCACAGGGTCCGCACAGCCACCGGGTAGAGGAGGGACAAGTGCTCAGCGCCTTTGATGGGCAGCTTTCTGGTGGTGTAGTAATGGATGACTTCTGGGACACTGTCGAACGGGGGGCTGTTCTGACCCAGAATGTACTTCTCTTTGGTTTTGGCCAGTTTCATGTGCATAAAGCCCTGGTTGCTCCTGTGAACAAAACACAGAGGGTATTAGGATCTGCAGGGTGACAAAGGCCAAGGCAGCCATACTGCTCAGGCCCAGGGGACAGGTGCAGGAGGGCTGAGGGCCAGGTAAGCAATTTCTCAGAGAGCGACTCGAGACTTAGCTGTGAACAAGCACATGTCACATATTCACACTTGTTACCTGGAGAACTACCCCTCTGGCTCAATCCCTGCTAAGGTGCAAAGGTTCCTTGCTGAGATCCCAGCCATGAAGTACCTCTTCAAGTCAAGACCAAAGCCCAGGCCCAGCCAAAATGCAGCTGCGCCTAGGAGCTCCCCTCGTCCCAGCATCAAACTAGGAACCAGCAGCAGACACTGCTGCAGGGGAGTCTTTCCACCTCAAGACCGCGGGCCGTCTTCCTGTCCCTCATGCAGTCATGTATTTAGTGTGAGTCCCTGATGCCCGGACAAGTGGGCAGGCAGGAGCCATCACCCCCAGTTTTCAGATGTGGACAGAGTGTGGCAGGGGTGACAGGCAGTAGGTGGGGCAGAGGGGTTTGCTTTGTGCCATTCAATACAGTATGGAACTGTCACTGGGAAGGGACTGCCCAGCTGGGACTACATTGCCCAGCTTCCCTGCAGCCACTGTACCCATGTGATTAGTTTTAGCCAATGGAATAAGGGAAAACACTTGCTCTTTCTCAGAGCTGCCCCTGGGTAGGCACTCTCCCCTCTTCCTCCCTCTGCTCAGCAAACCCTGCCTCCTTCTCCAAGGCCCAGCTTGAGTGTTTCCTCTGCTGGGAAGTCTTCCAGGCTCCCCCAGGCAGAGCTCCGTCCTCTGCCTGCACCGTCCTCTGCCTGCACCGAGGACCAGCACATCCCCTCTTCCTCCCTCTGCTCAGCAAACCCTGCCTCCTTCTCCAAGGCCCAGCTTGAGTGTTTCCTCTGCTGGGAAGTCTTCCAGGCTCCCCCAGGCAGAGCTCCGTCCTCTGCCTGCACCGAGGACCAGCACATGATGGAGGATCATGCCTCCATCTGCACCTGCTTTCTTATATTATAACTAGAGGCCCAATGCACAAATTTTGTGCAAGAGTAGGCCTTCGCAGCTGCGGCTGCCTTGATCCCTCCCTCGCAGCCGCAGCGGCTGCAGCTCCAGCCCGGAAGGACGTCCGGAAGGATGTCTGGTCTAATTAGCATATTATGCTTTTCTTATTATTATAGATTACTTATCCACCTTCCGAACCTGGGACCCTTCAGTCCGCAGGCCGACGCTCTATCCACTGAGCGAAACTGGTTAGGGCCCGAATTCCTAAGAATTCCACAGAGTAAGGTCTGTGTCCACCATGCCCAGCACCTGCTAAAAAGGGCAGTGGGCGGGCTCCTTGGAGATCAGAGCACAGCCCTGTGCACCATGCCCCTTGCAGCCTGCCAGCTATACCAGCAGGCTGGGTGGGGTGCAGCTCAGGGACTGTGGAGGCCACGCTGCTTCCACCTGGCCCGAGAGGACCGCTCACACCTCCCACCCAGGGCCCTTGTCACATCAGATCTCTCACTACCCATCAACCTGCCTTTGCCCAGGTTGCCCTTTCCCTGCCCACTCAGTTCCAAGCCTGGCCCTTGTGATTTTGCTGCCACATCTGTGGATGCTGAGGTCTCCAAAGCACAATCCAATATACTGAGTATCTGCCACTTAGTGAGGAAGCTGGGGCTCCGACCTCCTGCCACCTCCTCCAAGTTATCGTGTCTGGACACTGATAATTTGCGGCCAGGGTCTGGCATCCAGGAGACCAAGTCCCACCCCTGGTGAGGCCGAGAGCTCCGTGTGGACACAGGTTTCCTTTCTAAGCTCCGGCTCTTCTAGCTCTGGCTGTGGTCCCGGGGGCACTGAGGGCTTGCACACCTCTCCCAGTCAGGACTGGGCTCCCCTCGCCATGAGCGCCTGTCCTATTAACGCGTCAATTTGGACTCCAGGACCATTTTCAAATGGGCAGAGCAAATGCTTAATGAAGTGCAGGCACTGAGCAATACATCTGCTCGTAATAATGTATTTAGAGATGTCACCCTCGGCTTAAAGGAAATCGTTTGGAGAGCAATTATGTTTCAAGAGAGAATAATTCCTGTAAAGAACTGAAATTTAAATCAAGATTTTTTAAGGCTGACAATGTTCTAATTACAGAGCCTGTGGCAAGTTCTGCTCCACAGTGAAGGGTCATTTCACTGGAGAATTGCCTCCACACATCTGAGAAGCAGGAGGCGCACTTGCTTAAGCGGTTAGAAAGGAAATGGTGTGCGTGCGATGAAAAATGTATAGCCCCCTTCGAGCGAAGACTCGGCCACCCACCGCACTGGAGACACCGCGGGCCTTTGCCGGCCTGGAAAGGATCGTACTTGCTTGAATGAGGCTAAGGAAACAGGGAATAGTTAAAAAAGCTTGGGGTGAGTGTGGGGAGAGAAGGGGTCGGAGCTGCAGGTGAGTCCAGGCTCAGGCAGGGAGGGGCAGGACCTCGGGCACACCATGCCTCCTTGTGAGTTGAGTGGAGTTGTGTTTTGGGGTGCCAGACCATGCTCTCACACACCTATGGCTGGGGTGCAAAGCGTAGGGTGTGTGAGACAGGACCGCAGTAGCTGGCCCGGAGCGAGTCTGCACCAAGGCTGGCGTGCAGGCACGCAGCTGCAGGGAGAGCTGACTTAATGTTTAAGGAGATTAAGGAAAGTAACTCACATGGGTTAACCGGACGGTTTCACACAGGCTGCCATTAGAACATCCAGCAAGGGCCGTGGCCGTGATGGTGGCAACAGCTAACTCAGCCAGAAATGGAGGCAGAAGTTCCCATTCCCAGGCCACGGGGTCAGCACGGCCACCAGGTATTAGAGATGCGACACTGATGTCCCCCCTCAACAGACATGGGTGCGTGCGAGGCAGGGAAGCTCCTGAACTCCCTCCTGACCCTCCAGGCCTGTCTGACGCTTGTATTTCAGGACATGCTAGGTTATAACCGAGCCGGGCTGTGCCAAGGGGGCAGGCCAGTCCTGAGGTTCGGCAGAGAACTCGGACCCTGTGACCAGCCTCAGCCCGTGGCCTGACCGTTCCCTGGCACAGGTTGAAAGGCCAAAAGCTGGCCTCCCAGTGGGAACCCCTGCAGGAGTGGCGTCCTCCTGGGCTCACGCACTGTGCCCCGTGGCTGTGCCCATCCCCCTGGATCCCTGGGGAGCCTGACTGGATGGTGTCCGAGGCGCTTCTGGACCTCCGGTTCTGGATTCCCTGTGTGCAAGCACAACCTCCGCCTACTCCGCGAAGGCTTCTTGCAGGAAGGGGCCTGAGGGCAACCACACCCCCTCCACTGCTGCCCATGTGCCCCTGTCCTACTCTCACTGGGCACTTCCGTGAGCCAGGCCGTGTGCTGAGCACGGAGGCTCGGTGGGCAGGAGGCTGACCCCCGGCCACACGGCGGCTGGCAGTGGTGCTGCTGCTTCCCCCGCTGCAGGCCTTTCCCAGAGCCCTCGCTCCTGACCTCAGCACCATCCGCTCCAGAGACAGTCCCCAAGGCGCCGACGCTGCCCGGCTGATGGCGGGTCAGAGGCAGCACAGGCTGGCAGTGAGAGGCCATCACAGGGACTGGGGAGGGCGCAGCCCCGGCTCGGAGGTGACCCACCCATGGGGCCGGCAGGCTCCGAGAGGTGAGCAGGCTTTCTTTCCGAGACAACCTGTCAAACCTCGACTCATGCAAAGGTCAGGCAAAGCCTCGTCAAAACACAACCGAGAGCTGTGCTGTCACAACGTGTCCTGATTGGCCACAGGGTTGCCGTGAGATGCCACCTAACAACAGCTGAACATTTAAAAACAGCTGCCAGACACGGCTGTAGACCCCCAACTCTACACAGAGACATCAAGCACAGGGAGAGAAAAAGTTAAAGTTTCCCGGGGGACCGGGGATGCACCAGACAACCAGCAGGCACAGGGATGCTCTGCCGCTCGGACAGCGGCCCTGGAGCCAGAGCGGCCTGGGGACCATCTCCCTCGCCCTCCTGGGGCACTTCGGTGGAAACTGAGTTCAGAGAGAACAACACTCTGGCCCGATGCACACAACAAGGAGGGCGTCGGCTACAGCAGAACCCAGGGCCCTCGCGTCCCGGCCACCCACCTCCCCAGCCTCCCTCTGGAAAGGCAGCGGTCCCTGGGGAGTTCAGACAGGCTGCCGCCACCTGTCCAGCTCCTGCACCAGCCCTGTCTCCTTTGATAGGACATCTTGCGAGAGCAAAGTCACAGTCAGGGGTGTCTCTGGTGGCTGACCTGTCTAATGAGTCTCGGAAGGCTCTGAGGCGGGGGTGCCGGGGCTGTCACGGCCTTCAGATCGCTCATTATCATCACAAAAAGCACCTCCTCATCACCAGGATCATCAAACACGCCTGGCGCGCCAGCCTAATAACAGGCCCCACCTCGTCCCATAATCACGGGCTTTAATAAAACATCACTCAGCCCGCAGCTGCCGGCCCGAGCAGAGCGCGAGGCCTCACCTCTCGCTTTTAGACCTAATTGCGTGATGCATATTTCATGAAGAATCCCGGGTAATACTTATGTTAAATCGCTTCTTTTCATGATGAAATTACTTAAAAACACTTGCATATAATATTTATGTGGGAGAAGGCGAGGAAATTGCCCTCTGGGACTAGCGTGCAGCCCCAGTGGCAGGAGTCTCTGGTTCACCCTGTCAAAGGCAGTTGGGGAGCTGCTTTCTTGACGGGGATACCCTCTTGTCCAAGATGCCCCAGAACATCGTCCCTGGCTCCCCTCCACCACTGCAGGATGAATGACACCGCACTGGCACTGCTTGAGTCCCCACTGTGCGCCAGGCACCAAGCTGAGCTGTTGCCACACATTATCTCACTTGAGCTCACAGCAAGTTGCTCAGTTGGTGTAACTATGACTGTTTACAGGTGGGGAAACTGAGGCTGGGGGAGGTCGCGGGCCTTGTCCCACGGGACACAGTGGGGCCAGGAGGTCACTCTGTCTGTCTGACCCTGAGC